CTGTTTGCGCAGCAATATTGCCAGAGCGGCAACTCGCAGCTCTCTGACACCACGTGTGATACTGAAACAAGGAGAGCATCCTCCTCCCACCAACCAAGGCACCAAACCCACCAGTTTGCACCAGTTCCCTGATGAAAACCTCCAAGTGTAATGATACACGGTAACTCAGAGGAGGGTACCAAGGTTTTGGTGGATTTGAGCCCCGAGCCTGATACATGCAGCGTTTTAAAGGCAGACAGTAGAGGAAAACAATGCCGGGTGGTAGATTGCAGTGCAGCAAGGCTTCACCTTTCCTGGGAAATGGACTCTTCCAGTTATTTCAGGTTTGCCTTCACCTGTGATGTGGTCCCTTACTCATAAACCTCCTCAAAGGGGAAAAAAACTCCAAACACAAACACCTCCCCACACAAAACCCCCCAAACTTAAGGGGGATTTTTGCTGGCCCCAGCTTTGGGGAAGGCTGGCAGAGCACTTTGCTCTGAGCAGAGGCACCGGTGGGGCAGGTGGGTTTGGCTCCGGCACCGTCCTTATGGCAGCTCCGGCTGGGGCAGCTGCTGGCAGCAGCACCAGCCTGGAAGGCCCCAGGAACCCAGCCTGCGAGGGCAGAGTCAGCCCACCAGAAAGGGCCAGAAAGGGCTGGGCTTGGCTGCCACTTACCTGGGGGCATCTGGGACCTCATGCACCCAGGAACAAGGAGCCGTCACATTCACAAGTGCGGGTGACAGCCTCTCTGGCCAGGGACAAGCTCTTTCGTGCCTGTGCTTTTGCTCTCTGTGCTGTGAGGGAAGGATGCCATGAATTCACTCTTCTCTTACCCCAAACTGCTTGTTTACTTCAAAGTTTGGAGAACTTTTCCACATGAATGACATTGGAGACTATTCTTCACAGAAAAAGAAAAAAGAAAAAAAAGGAGTTTGAACACTTGCAGATATCACTCCTGTTTCCTGACCTCTGCATAATGCTGCAGGACATGGATCACACCTTTAGTTTTAGTTCAGACAACTGCAGATTCACCAGTGCCGATGTGCTCTGGCCAGATCTTGGGCTTGCTGTGTGACTGAGCCCCTCACCAGGAACAGGATTGTCCTGCTCGGCAGACCCTGCCAGAAAAGAGGCTTAAAAACCACAAGACGGTCAAAAACGCCAGTGATGAGTGAGTGTTTACCAAAGGCTACACGCTGTGTGGCTACACGAGCTGTCCCTTACTCACCTGTGATGGGGCAAATTAATTGATACCTCAGCAAAAATGAAAGCAATGGCAGCTTGGGTTCCCTTCTCTGAAAGGGATGAGGGAAATCACCTCCAGGGTGAGGCCACCAACTATGACTATTTTTCCCAGGTGACATCGCTGTTAGCATCACTGTGAGTTGATAGTCCCCTGGGCTGGGGACAGCCACCCCTCTCCCGGTGGCCCCTGGGGCAGCCAAGCTCCTCCAGCAAAGCGCTGCCACCTCCAGCTCAAGAGCACGCAGGACAATTTGTTTGAGCTGTTAATCCAAAATTCGGAATAGCATAGATGCCAATATACTGTTGCACCTCCATTCATGTTTCTGGGACATTTCAGAACTAGGCTGGCTCAGTTATAAAAGCTAGGCTGATGGGGAAGAGAGACAACGAAGGCCCAGAAGAGGCCGTATAAATTGTGGCTGAGTCACTCAGTAACATTCCTGCCCTCTTTATTTTTATTTATTTAACCTTCAGGTTTTTCTTTAATAGCAAAAGAATCTCTCTTGTTTGTCACTGCAGTCTGGGACTATTTTTAACACTACTAATGCGTGACTAAAATGGGGTGGAGTAGCTAAGCCAGCTCTGCTGACCCAGCTACGCACCAGGTTTATCTGACCATCAGAGGAGGAGCTGGACCAGGGCCCTTCGGCGCGAGAAGGCAGAGCAAGGTGCCTGCAAGAGTGAGGCACGTGGAAGAAAATGCCAGTGTCCTGGGACATGCATGGTGAAAAAACAAACAACAGCTCCTGTGGCTTATTAAAAAAAAGCTCCAGACTCCTCCCAGGCGTGGTGTCAAACACTTGAGTATTTTTCTCTGCATTAATCTCTGAACAGAGTCCACAGAGCATAAAATTTGCGTCTCATCTGCCCATCAGAAAAAGACAGGAAAAAACCCCATCCCTGCAAAGAAGTAATTCCTGGACTAGAGCTTTAAAAATGGTACCCAAACGAAGGCAAGCAGTGTCTTCCCACTAGGGAAGACCAGATAACGTAACACCCAGCCCACATTTGTTCTTCTGTCCTTCGGAGGGGCCTCTGCAGAGGTGTGTTAGGGTTTGGGGAGCTGGAAGGTGTTGAAACGGGTACATCCCGCATCCCCTCTCCTGCCGTCACTGCCGTGATTTCTGCATTCAGAGGAGGAACCGAAAATAACCGTGGGAAGTACCAGATGGCAGCTGCTGAACGCTGTGCGCCTTCTGCCAAGTCCTGAGCAAAAGAGCACACGCATGGAATGGGAATGAAGACGCCATTGCCGGAGCATGACGGCAGGATGGCAGCATCGGGAAGGCAGCGCTAACCTGAGTCAAAAAGCAAGAAATGCTCCACTCTGGACAAACAATATTTTAAAGGAATATAAATATGCATATATATATTTTCATGCGTGCATATATAAAAGCCTACATACTGTAGGGAATCGCTCTGAAATGTTCAAACTTCTATTTATACTAAACCATTAAAGGCAAATTACACTGATGGGTTGACTGTGTTTATTGCAGAAGCAAAACAAGATGCCTACAGACCCAGGCACACGCTCCTGCACGTTGCTGCGATGGTATAAGACAAAATGCTGAAGCAGTAGATCCTCTCTTCCCCAGCCCCAAGATCACGGTTTTTGTAACCGCTGCAAAGAGATTGAGCACCCGCCTGCCCAGAGCGGAGCCCAGTCCCACGGCTCACAGCGCTGGAAGGGGGGTCCGGGACCCTGGGGCTGCCTTTCCCCAGGTCTGCCCCACAGCTGGACAGTGAACATGCAGCGTTGCCAAACCTTGCTGCTGGCTCAGAGCATGACCCTGTTAAGGCAGAATCACTGATGCCTTGTGTCCTTGCTATAAGTGATACGTATTTAAAAACATGTTTGTTTGGGTTTTTTTCCCCTGCACTGTTCAACCCTGCTTGGCTGACTCATGAGAGGCACGGGCTTTGCAAGTCACCTTGAGTATTTCCAGCTGTGACATGCACAGGACCAAACTGTTCCAAGCACCACTAGATTTTAAGAGCACTTAGATATACTATTATACGTCTATTCAGACCTTAGAGAGAAATTATTTAAGCGTTTTCCTTTAGGAGGGATGTCAGAATATTTCATTATTTTTAAGAAATAATATCACTGGAAATCTTCAGAAATCACACTGGAAATCTTTGCTTCAGCCCATGGATGAAGTCAGATTATTATTATTCCATAGCCTTAAAAATCAGGGAATTACGTGATTTGGAATGACAAAAGATAACTACTTGGAGAGGTATTCCTAAACATGAAGAGAGAAGAAAGGCAACTTTGTAGAAATACTAAAAATGAGTGATTTTTCAGTGCTCATCTACAGGGAGACAGGATGCTGGTCTACCTTTTACTACTTCAGTTAAAATAGTTTCCATCACATATGATCTCAGGTTGATCTATCTCATGTATATGTGAGACTAAACTTGTAAAATACAACCCGGGATTTAAAAAATTTTTCCTTTTAAATCAGTGCCATATATATCTAAAGTTGCTGAACTCAAATTGTTTATCAAATTACACAGGGTGTTGTAACTGAAGGAGACCAGTGGCAGCGCAGACATCTGGTGTAAACAGAGCCACAAACAGATATTGCAGCTAAGGATTTGTCCTACAAAGTGACAAGCTCTACAATCTCAAAGGTCAGATTTCCTTAAGCAATTACACAGAGCTGTCAGAAAAAGTTAATCATGCTTCTTTATATTAAATTAATGTATAGCTACCAAAGAAGGAAAAACATAAACTCAAGTCTTTATGCTTAGGATTTACAACGAAGGCGAAGCAGCCTCTCTTCTTGCAGGGATTACATACAAAAACCTAAACGCCGGTCACATGAGGATTTACTCACAGTAGCTTCGACAAACATATTTGCCAAGGGCGAGCGGTGAAGTGAGGCAGGATGTGATGCAGAGCTCACGGTGTCGCTTCTGCTGCCTGGCGGAGGATCAAGACCACCACCATGAAGGGAGTGACTTTGCTTGTTGAGGTGGCCAAGCCCTTCAAGCTCAATAATTAAAAACTCAGCCCCACAGGGTTTGTTTAGAAAAAGAACCTATTGTCCCTGCCGAGAGGCTGGGGAAACAGACCGTTCCCACCCCCAGCTTTTTGCTCGATGGTATTTTAATCGTGCCCAATGAGGATCCAGATTTCCTCACAGATCTAGTGTTAGTTCACTGTTTTCTGGAGGATGATTACACGTTATGAGAAGGCAAAAAGCCTCCAGGCATGTGTGCATTATATAGTTTCTGAAGAATGTCCCTGCGAATTGCAAGTATGGTTACACATTACTGTACTTCCAAAACACAAATATGATAATGTGCTTTGCTGACCTGTGGCTTTTGCCCATGATCTAAGACTACTTAAATGAACATGGAGAAGCTGCAGCACTGAATTTATGCTAACTGCATCCCTGCACTTATCAATAATCAGCTGCACTGATAAGAATTGTGCTTCTTATCAAGAGATGGTACGTGAATAAATACAGGAAGATTAAAAAGTGCTAAGAGTCCTTTCAAAAGGGCTACATGAAAAGCCTTAAGTAAACAATATTTCTTCACAACAAACATACTGTCAGGTTTAATACCATAGCTATTAGGAATTATTTACTGAATAGAAAAAGATTAATTTTCATTCCCCATATAGTAAATAGTACATGTATTCTTCTGAGAGAAAAAGCACAGAATAGCTGCAGTTCATTCCTTCTTGATTCACAGTTGCAAATAATAAAAGTTCACAGCAAGAACTTTCTCTTTCAGTACAAAGTAGAAACATCCCGTCGCTAAAAGTACAAATCTCGTCTTCTGTCGTGAATCTGAATACCTGAAAGACACAGCAGTATCAGGACAGTCAAACAGCACAGTCCATGCAATCTCTTCCAGCAAACAAAATTGTACCTTTGGGTCTGATGCAAGAGGGCCCTTACAAGAATAACCAGAATGACCATCCAAAGCATCCCCAAAATGTTGCACATCAAAGAACCAACATCAGGGGATGACACAGTCCCAAGAGACTAATAAAAATATGGAGGCCTGAATACTTGGGGAATAATTTCTTAGTACCAATCTCCTAGCAGCGTGGTGGGTTTGGTGGTGATAACTACAGTTATGCTGGCGCACAGGCTCAACAGGGACCTTGGTCTGAAGCTGGGTGCTTGACAGACAAAGTAAGGGGTGCCCTGTCTTTCTGAGAGCTGAACAGTGGGCAGCCAGTGCAAAACGGACATTGTGGCAGGCTGATGGTATAACTACGAAAATGAAGTTAGGTTGTGTTAGAAAATCACATATCTCATTTGAGCGGAAGGTTTTCCCTCTTCTCTGTTAACTTAGCTAAGGGAGGGGGTGTGTAGATCATGGTGGAAAAGCAAGCTTCTGAAACACAGTCTAGAAGCAACCAAGGAAGCATCTTTAATTCTGTGTGCATAAGCAAGGCAGCTCTCTTTCACAGGTGAGTTTTAATTCCCAAACTGCTGGTTTTGTTACTCACCTGCAGTGGCATGGCTTACACTGGGATTTTCTGAGCTGTAAGAACTTGCTTTCCTCTCTTAAAAAAAAAAAATAAAAAAAAATACTGGAGATGAGCAGGTTCAACACAGAGCTAAAAGTAGGCAATAATTCCTAAAGAAACTTTGTGCTTTTGCAGCCCAGCGTATAGCACAGGTGCTGAGGAGCTCTGTACTGTCTGGCACAGAAATATACACTTCCATAAATATAAATATCAGCTGTTCTTAAATATGACACAGAGCGAGGAAAAGTATATATAACAGAGCCAAGAAACAGCCAGATTAGATGCAAACATCCTAGGGGCTTGCCAAAGACTCCCTGTGAACATTAGACCAGTTATCTCTTATCTGTTCTTTTTGGGTTGTTTGATAAGCCTATGTGCAGTGTTACACACGTGGTGTTCGAGGCTCCCCGAATCCTCAGAGAGGCCCTGTAAACATGCCGAAAGAAAAAACTTTAACTGGCAATAGCTGGGGAGCATCAAGTTGTTTCATTTCCATTTCAATTTCTTTCCC